AGAATCTCCAAATTGGACTGGGAAAAACGCCTGTCTGGAATTCTAGAGAGCTACCACTACTTAGGCAGATTACATTTCAGACTTGATAGACTACAACCCCCATCATCTCAAAACAGACTTCCCATGATGACTGAGGAGTTATAATCCAACATAATTAGAAGACATGCTTGAAAAGACTAATACAGGTGGCATCAAACTAGATAGCAATAGCACTTATATACCGCTTCACAGTGCTTCACAGCCCTCTCTAAGTAGTTTACAGAGTCAGCCTATGCCCCCTCCCCAATCGGGGTCCTCATTTGACCGACCTCGGGAGCTGAGTCAACCTTCAGCTAGTCAGGATCGAACTGCTGGCAGTCGACAGAATTAGCCTGCAATATTGCATTGTAACCGCCACGGCTTTTCAGATGGACCATCTACCAGACTCAGTAGAAGACATCTAGGCTTGCCACTGTTTCCAGATCTTGCCTAAGGTTACCTTGTCTTTGTTGTTTTTCAGATCCCCACGGTGTACCTCATGACTTTCCTGGATGCGCTGGAGGCTGGTTATGGGAAATATAAGAACCCTTATCACAATCAGATACATGCTGCTGATGTTACCCAGACTGTACATTGCTTCCTGCTTCGCACCGGCATGGTGGTAAGGTTAACCTGTAGACTGAGTGCTTCAAGCGATTGTCCCATTGGTTCACCCTCCAGCTGGGAAGTGTTGTTGATATTGCATGCTTAGAAAATTAATTCTGCTTTTTGGGCCTGAAGAAACTTCCAAATCTTGGGTTTTAGTGCCTGCCTTTCTGCTATGTTGTTATGAATTACTGTACCTAGGACAAATATCAGGAATGCAATTATGTGACCTGCATGCTGTTTTTCTCCCAAATTATTCTTGATCAAACTGAAACACCATACACAAAAACAACAGTGCCCTCTAGTGGTCTCTCCGGTTTCGCATTAAGCCTGGAATTGGGGAAACTGATGGCAGTCAGCAAATGTTTGAAAAGTGAGTTGTGTGGCTGCCCTCCCCCAGATTGAGAATGTCTTTAAAAATAGGGAATTAAGCAAAAAAAACAAACAAATCTACAGGTTATATTACAAGATCAATACACAGTTGTAATTAAAATATAAAATCAACTCAAGTAAAAAAACCAAACAAATCCTAAAGTAAATCAGTAATCTGACCTGCTAAAATGCATTCCAGCAAATAAAAGATCTTGAAAATGAAATCTCTCTGAAAAGGGAAGTTCCCATGGCAGGAAGCAACACATTCCAACTAGGGCAAGGCAGAAGGAAGTACTTTTCCCAATATTTTTCAAACCAGGACCAACTTATTTGGGAAAACACAGCCCTTAGGTTAGGATGCTTCTCTTTGGGCTTTGAAGGACATAGCCAGCAGTTGGATCTGCATGGGAATGATGCTGACTGAAAATGTTGGTAGTCGTATTCCCAGCACACCTAGAAATCATTATCTTTGAGAGGCTGCAGGAATTGGGTATGTCTAGTTTAATGAGAAGGACGAGAGGTAACATGATAGCAGTGTTCCAATATCTCAGGGGCTGCCACAAAGAAGAGGGAGTCAACCTATTCTTCAAAATGCCTGAAAGCAGGACAAGTAGCAATGGATGGAAACTAATCAAGGAGAGAAGCAACCTAGAACTAAAGAAGAATTTCCTGACAGTGAGAACAATTAAGTAGTGGAACGGTTTGCCTTTGGAAGTTGTGGGAGCTCCATCCCTGGAGGTTTTAAAGAAGAGATTGCACAGCCATTTGTCTGAAATGGTATACGTTTCCTGCCTGAGCAGGGGGTTGGACTAGAAGACCCCCAAGGTCCCTTCCAACTCTTTTATTCTGTTAAATATCAGACAACGGAAATTTTATTTGGAATGACACAAAACCACATTTGTGGCAGAAATC